ACTCGATGGAACTTAACAACAACAACTATGTATCATCATTCAACAGTATTTGCTTCTATTCCCTCTGTTTTTTGGATGTACACTGAAGCACTCAGGAATGTATAATCATTCAAACAACCAAAGGGCACATACCCTATAAGCACCCCACCCCCTGGCCACCAGCGCACAGCGCCTCTCCCTCCCTGAGTCCAGAGTCCCCAGCTGCTCCATCTTTCCGTTTCGTTTCTGGTGTCACTGCTTCTCTGGATAGGGTCCCACACTCCACTCGTCTCCCTTGATGGTCCCAGGGTCCTGAGCTTAGTATGTTTTGAGACATTATATTCATCACTCCACAAACATTTATTGTCTCTGAGAAGCCAGGGACAGACTTGTTTATTTTACATATGCTGGGTTCATACCATAATCTGCTTCCCAAAAGCACATCTTTTCATCAATAAATATATGGCATTTGAACTGATCTCTTATTGGAAATTTAACTTGGTTCTAGTTTTGCACTAGAAAGAACATCTGGGATGCATTTCTTTTGCATTGGGATACTTGTGCATGTACTTCTTGGTGTAAATTCTCACAAGCAGAATGGCGGGTTCTGCAAATGTGTTCATAAGTTTTATCGTCATCTTGTCTGGCAAACCGCATGCTCAGCTGTCCATAGCCTGGATCCATGTGATGTAAGGGGCTTCCGAGGAGGCTGGCACCACTGTCGCCTCTAGAGGTGTTTGTGCTGCTTTTCAGAGCCCGTTTCTTTCATTTCTTCCCAGTTAGGAAGTCACTTCTAGTTCTGATCCCCACGGCTCCCCCGACAATGGCCTGCCACTAGACTCCAGAGGCTTCATGGGAGAGAAAGGGCCTTGGTACCCATGTCTCGCCAACCATCCTCTTCCCCTTTCAAAGTCCTGCTTACCTCACACCTTTTAAAGACTCATTTAGTGGTAAGTCATAAATCATTTCTAGGGTTTCTAATAATTGACGTGGTGCCCCCAGATGGTGCAAATGTAGCACATTGGCTGCTAGCCAAGGGTTCAAGTCAACCCAGAGGGCCCTCAGAAGAAAGGCCTGGCAACCTACTTCTGAAAAACCAGCCACTGAAAACCCCGTGGGGTGTGGTTCTACTCTGACACACACGGGGCTGCCAGGATTTGAAGTCAAACTACACAGTGTGTGGTACTGCTAATGATTGTTTTTGTTGTTAAGTGCTGTCGAGTCAGTTCTGACCCATTGTGACCCTGCATAAGGTTTCCAGGTAGCAACTGGTGAGCTTGAACTGCTGACTTTGTGGTTCAAACCGACTTTGCAATCCAGTGCATTAGCCCGCAGCACCACCCTGGGACTCCTAATGATTAGCATACTGTAAGTCTAATTCTTGAAATATTCATCACAGTTTTCTTTCATTTCTATTTGCATTCCACTTCCCAGAAAACAAAGCTGCTTCCTAGGTGGGGGGAGAGGGAGCCTCCACACTTCAGATAGATCTCAGAAGTGTACTGAATATTAGGTAAAGTTACTTTATCGTGTCTTGGAAGAAGTATAGCTAGAATGCTCTTTAGAAATAAGAATGGCCAAGACTTGTCTCATGTACTTTGGACATGTTATCAAGAGAAACCAATCCCTAGAGTACATATTCTAGGGGTTGAAAAAACCCCAAATTCAAATATATTTTATACAGACTTCTTTAGTAAGTTTTAAACAGGACAAAGATAAGGGGGAGGCAGATCACTGGGCTGAGGAAAACCATCAGCATAAGGCCATGATGGTTGGTGTCCAATGGACTCAGCCACGTGGCCAATGATAGAACATGGAAAACAAGGAAATTATGACAAAATCATGACAGGAAGGAGATCAATTCATCATGGTCACAGATGGGACTAGAAAAATGGGAAAGGGACCATGGTTGGGATATATAAACTATGGTGGTGGTGGTGGTGGTGATGTGCCGTGGAGTCGGAACCAACCCATAGCCACCCTGTACAGGGTTTCCGAGGCTATAAATCTTTACGGGAACAGAAAGCCTCATCTTTCTCCTGCGGAACAGCTGGTAGTTTCGAATTTCTGACCTTAAGGTTCGCAGGCCGATTTGTAACCACTACGCTACCAGAGTTCCTTATATACACTATAGCAGACTGAAAGGCTTCTAGGGTTGGTTCTGGGGCCTTCCAGCCATCTTGGTGGGAGCGTGACTCATGACCGTGGGCTCTGAACCCCAATTTCCATTAAAGGTACATTCAGGTAAGTTCCTGAGGGTAATAGTGTCCCTTCCTAGACTGGCTATCATCGCTGTTTTAGGGTACCATTGAGTTGGTATCTGTATAAGGATTTACAGTACATTAAATATTTCTTTTTGACGCTATAAATCTTTAGGGGAAAAGAAAGCCTCATCTTTCTTCTGTGGAGCAATTGGTGGGTTAGAACTGCTGACCTTAAGGTTAGCAGTCCAGTGCTTATCTAACAGTGCCACCAGAGCTTCTTCTAGACTGGCTGTTGGTGTTCTAAGGTGCTGTCGAGTTGGTTCCAACTCATAGTGATCTGATGCACAACACAACGAAACTCTGCCTGGTCCTGTCCGGTGTTCACAGTTGTTATGTTTGAGTCCAGTGTTGCTGCCACTGTGTCAATCTGTCTCATTAGGGATGGTCCTCTTTTGCTCTGACCCTCCACTTTATCAAGCATGATGTCCTTCTCCAGGAACTGATTCCTCCTGACAACAAAGAAAAGAGAGAGTGTCTTGATATCATTGCTTCTAAGGAGCAGCCTGGCTGTACTTTTTCCAACACAGATTTGTTTGTTCCTCTGGCAGTCCATGGTACTCTCATTATTCTTTGCCAGCACCATAATTCAAATGCATCAATTCTCCTATGGTTGTCCTGACTCATTGTCCAATTTTTTACATGCATACGAGGTGACTGAATATATGAATTGAGTCAGGTGCACCTTAGTCTTCAAAGTGACATCTTTAACACTTTACAGAGGTCATTTGCAGATTTATTTAATGCAAAGTGCCGTTCGATTTCTTTTCTTGACTGCTGTTTCCAGGAGAATTGCTTGTGGATCCAAGTAAAATGAAGTGTTTGGTAACCTCAATTTTTTTCGGTTTATCGTGATGCTCTTTATTGGTCCATTGTGAAGATTTATGTTTTCTTTACATTGAGGTTGCACTCCATAAGGAAGGCTCGGTCTTTGATCACCAGTATTTTAAGTCTTCTTTGCTTCCAGCAAACATGGTAATATCATCTGCATATCTCAGGTTGTTAATAAACTTTCCTCCAATCCTGATGCCATGTTCTTTATAAAATCTGATTTCTCAGATAATTTGCTCAGCATACAGATTGAATAAGTATGGTGAAAGAATACAACCCTGCCACACACCTTTCCTGGGCTGGCTAGGGGAGTTGTTTCAAACACACAATGCCTGAGGGCAAAACTGTCTACATTGCTAGACTGTGGTCAGGAAGAGCTCAAGAGAAGCTGGATTTATGTCAAGACTCAAAGTGGAGGTAAGGCTCTCGCTGTAAGCCACGTTGTTTAATTAAGCACTATTAAGTTGTTGCCAATTCACAGTGACTGTTTAAGGTTTCCAAGCAGCGGCTGGCGGGTTTAAACCACTGACCTTGAGATTAACAGTCCAGTGTTTGTCCTACGGAGGCCACACCAGAGCTCCGCTGTAAACCACGTAGTTAGGTACCAATGAATAAGTTCCATCTCATAGCAACTGTATGCACAGCAGAACTCAGACTGGCTGGCCCTGCACTATCCCTGCAATCCTTGTTACACTTGAATCTGTTGCTGCTGCCACTGGAAACCACTGTTATTGTTAAGTACTGTCAAGTTACTTCAGACTCATAGCAACCCTGTATAGGGTTTGCAGCTGGTGAGTTTGAACTGCCGACCTTGTGGTTCAAACCAGCCTTGCCGTCCAATACTTTATTCCATAGCGCCACGCCAGGAGTCCACTGGAAACCATTGTTGATGTTGTGATGTGCCGTCTAGTCAATTCTGACCCATAGTGACCCTGTATAGGGTTTCTGAGGAGTGGCTGGTGAGCTTGAATCACCTACCTTGCAGTTCAAATAGCTTTGCAGTCTGGCGCATTAACCCACAGCACTACACCAGGACTCTGCATTACCACAAACCAGAGCCTTCTGCAAATCAAGGCCTTAGAATGGAAGCTCTAATACAGACATTATGCTCGGTAAAGGGTCAGTAGCAGAAGACCCTCAATGAGAGGGATTGACAAAGTGGCTTCAAGAATGGGCTCAAACATAGCACGCATCGTGGGGATGGCAAAGAATGGGGCAGTGTTCTGTTGCACTTGGGTTGTGACGCGTTGGAACTAACTCGCTGGCGTCTAACAACAGTACAATGAGCACGAAAACAACAAAATATGCACTCGATTCCGACTCACAGCCACCCTATATGGGTTTCTGAGACTGTACATCTCAATGAGAGCAGACATTCTCCCTTGGAGCACTTGGTAGGTTTGAACCGCTGTTCTTGAGGTTAGCAGCCCAATGTGAAAACTGAGGATTACGTAGGTAGGTTGTCACTCGTCCACGGTGACATCGCTACTATGTGGCGGCTGGACCCCACTTCTATTTATAAACGAAGAGGTGAAGAAAAGGGAGGTACGCCAAGAATGAAAATATTAAAATAAGAAAATCAGCAAAGAAAGCCTAAACTTGCAGTGGAGGGGTGAATTGCAAGGACACCTTTCCGTAGGGCGCTTCCAGCTTCGGAATAGCGTCACTACCGGGTGCCTGGCGTCACCGACGCGCCGCTGGCGTGCTGGGGCGTAAGGCGCCGCCGAGAAGGTGGGACTTCCGGCTCCGCGCCGAAAGCATTTCCGGCAGGAACCGGAAGCGCGTCCTGGATGGTGTCAGGGACGGCCTGTGAGTGGAGCTGAGCTCCGGGTGGCCGCCTTCCTGAGCGCAGCTCGCCCCATGCTGCGGGCCGCGGCCGCCAGCCCCCGCTCGGATCGGCGGCGCTGAAGCGCCCGGGCTGCGCGCGCCATGTCGTCCGGCCTCCGCGCCGCCGACTTCCCGCGCTGGAAGCGCCACATCGCCGAGGAGCTGCGACGCCGGGACCGGCTGCAGAGGCAGACGTTTGAGGAGATCATCCTGCAGTGTGAGCGGCGCCTGCGGGCCGGGGGCGGGCGGGTGGCGTCGGGCCCCGGAGAGCCCGCGACTTCGTGCGCCCTTCCCGCCCTCTTCCGCTTTATCCTTGGAGGCCACGGCGGCGGGGCTTTCGGCGACCGCGCATTAGTGTCTGTCTGTCCCAGCAGCGCCCACGCTGTGGAGTAACTGAGGGTCCTGACTGAATACCTTAGCCCGCCAAAGTAGTATCGTCTTGTAAAAAGCAAAATTGGAGCTCTGGTGGCGCGGTGATTAAGCGTTGGTTTGCCAACATGCAGGTCAGCAGTTTGAACCCACCCGCTGCTCCGCGGAGAAAAGACTTGGCTATCGGCTTTCGTAAATCCCACAAACAGTTCTACTCGGCCTTCCCTTCCCTGTAGGGTGTCTATGAATCGGAATTGGCATCATGGCCCCTGGTTCTCTGTCAAAGGAACATTGCCTCCCCCCCACCCCGCAGACCTATTGCCACAGACACGCCACCTTGGGGAACATTTTGAGTCTGATTTCCCTTTCTGACCGGGACATCATAATCTATGCTGTGATTGGAACCCTTCAGTGGGAATGATGATGGGGTCGTCTTCTCCCACTACCTCCCATGTTTCTCTGTAGAAAGTGTCTAAACTTAGGTCCGTTTGGAGGACCATTCCCGTGCCTTACCCTAGCCGATGGCACATTTGGGGAAAGAAATGGTTAAATCAGTGCTGCTCATTGAAATCCTGTCTGCCCGTTGGAATCTCTTGTTAAGCGATGTTAGTCTGCATAGGGTCTCAGAGGAACTGAGAGGTGGGTTTGAACCACCGATCGTGTGGTGAGAATCCAGTGCTTATCCTGGTGGTGGTGGTGTGCCATGGAGTCAGTTCCGACTCATAGAGACCCTGTATAGGGTTTTCGAGGCTGTAAAGCTTTATAAGAGGGGAAAGCCTCATCTTTCTCTTGTGGAGCGACTGGTAGATTCGAACTGCCGACCTTGCAGTGATCAGCACAACACATAACCCATTACCCACCAGTACAATACATTACCCACCAGGACGCCTTTTGTAAAATTCCACCGCGCAGGTGGTACCCAGAGATGGGGGGGTGGTATTGATGCTCCTTAAAGTGGTTGTGGAGTCGATGGAGGATAAGCACTGATTCTAACCCACCAGCCACTCCTTGGAAGCCCTATACAGGATCACTGATGAGTTGGAGCCGACACTACAGCACACAACAAAGTGATTTTAATGTGCTGACAAATTGGAGTACTGAGGTCATCATTTGGCGTGTGATGTTTTCGTTTTATTTCCCCCCAATTTCTATGAAGCATGCACTTCTATTGCCCTTTTCCACGGGAGGAAACTGAGGCAGATCAGGATTACATGACTGGCTTGATGCTCCTAAACCTTTTGTGTTTGCTTTTCTGCTGGCTCCTCCCTGCTTTTCATTGAGGAAGCCAAAGGCCCTGAGGAGCCACTGCTGCCTAGGAAACCCCTCCTACTGGCCCTAGGAGCCCCTCATTTCCATTAGGTTCACCCTGAATAAATCCACATTCTTTAAGAGAAAGCACACTGAAAGTCAGTGCTGTAGAGGCCGCGCCCCACCCCTGACCTTTTCACTGAATCCTTGTTGAGGCTGGTTCGTGGCCTATATAAAATGTAAACGAAGCTTGCCCTGCCAGCTTTATGAAAAGATGCTGTGCAGATAAGTGCTTTGAAAGCCAGCCACATAATCATCTCCAATGTAAAGTGCTTTTCATCTCTCTCACACACTGAATGCGTCTCTTGTTCTGGCAGGAGGGTGAAGGAGAAAAATTGATCTTGTTAAATAGCCAGTGGGTGAGTGGTGCCGTTCTGAGGGGGGAGAGAGGAGACAGGAAAGCAAGACCATTGCTGCTTGATACATGCTTTTGTCAGTTTGGGGAGATCACTTCCACTCATTCCTGTGTGCCCAGTCTCGCCCAGTTCTGAGCCTGAAGAGAAAGATGAAAGGAAGTTTGTGGGTGCCTCATCCCACTCCACCCTCCTCTTTAGTGATAGGAACCTTTGGGAGGCCCCCTGCTTTGGTGCAACATTTAGAAGAATTATTCGGGCCCTTCCACTCTGGTGTATTTTCAGCTTTTCTCAGTGTCACAGTCCCCCCTGTTGGTACCAGCTTCCTGTTCAGCTGAGCCAATGCTTTGAAGTTCTATTGGTGAGGCCATTCTTTCTGCTTCCGCTCAGAAGTGTTCTGACAGGAGGAGTCATTGGCATAAGCTCCTTCACCGTTTTGCTGGACAGGCTTTTAGGGTTTGTGGCTGTTTTGTTAGGTGCCCTTAAATTCGCTCCACTCAGTGACCGCACGTACCACAGAAGGAAGCACTGCCCATTCCTGCACTGTGCTCACAATTGTTGCAGCCACTGTGTCAGTCCATCTTGTTGGAGGTCTTTCTCCTTTTCACTGGACCCTCCACTTTCCCGAACATGATGCTCTTCTCCAGGACTGGTCCCTCCTGCCAACTTGTCCAGCGTATGTGAGGTGAAGTCTCGCCATCCTCACTTCTAGGGAGTATTCTGGCTGTACTGCTTTCAAGATACATTCAGTATACAGGGATGTCAGCACCGTAATCAAAGGCCTTCGTTAGTCACTGTCCAGCTTTCACACTTTAAAGAGGTCTTGCAGCGGCCCCTTTCAATTACGGCTCTTCTGCCAGGTCAGTTTCTTGCTTTGCTCTGCAGCCTCCATCCCATCCGCTCTCACTGTGCGGCTGTCATTCCTATCTCCTAGCTCTGACTTTTCATTTGAAAAGTCCCTGGTACTTACGTTCCCTGTCAAACATATGTTTGTGTTCTATCTGATGCTTTGGTTGCCTGAGCAAAGAAGGTCAGTGTCTGTCTTTCACTTCTTGCCAGTAAAAAGCCATTTCTTTAGCTGTCTGCCTGCTGTTTAAGAAAAAGTCTAAAATTCTCATTGCACCCTGCCTCACATGTTGGCACCAACCTTTATTTTCACCCACGTAGCTTCATGTGCTTCTTTCTACCTGGACTGTTGGTTTCCACTAAGACCTGACTCAGATGTGGCCCCTGGGAAAGTGACGTGGCAGTGAGTGAAGACCACTCTTCTCAGCACCTGTTCGGGGTGACCTTCATTCGGTTTGAGCTCCTTGAGGTTGGGAACTGTCTCATCTATCCATTTTCCCAAGTAATTAAATTTACCAGCTTGTGTGATTCTTGGAGGCATGCAGCCTTTCCCATCTCTGTTGTCCTTGGAGTGTGTATGTGCGCACCCGTGTGACTTCACACTCCTGAGGGAAGAGATTTTGCTTTCGGGAGTAGAAGGTGATTGTGTCGCCCTGAGTTGATGAGACATCTGCAGGGCTGACCGTGGTTACTCTGGTTGGGCTGTCCCTGCTCAGTCTCAGAAACATCTAGGAACGTTGTTAAGTGCTGTCGAGTCAGTTCCAAATCATAGCAACCTTGTATAGGGTTTTCTAGGAGTGGCTGGTGAGTTTGAACCCCCGACCTTGAGGTCAAGTGCTTATTCTGTGGTGCTAGATTTGTACGCTGGTGGATTTAGGACCATTGCCATGGTAGGTGACAAAGGGCCGGATCAGGTATGCTGATGCCTAGTAAAGGTAAACCTGGTCCTATGACCTGCTTATTCCTTTGGCTTTATGAGACATAAAGTGTAGTAAAGTGTACATGGAGTCCTGGTGTGGCGCTGTGGGCTAATGCGCTAGACTGCACAGTCAGTTTGAACTGCAATGTTGGCAGTTCAAACTCACCAGCCGCTCCTTGGAAACCCTGTACAGGGTCGCTGTGGGTCAGAACCAACTTAATGGTGCACAGCACCACTCGTCTGTCGGTGTGTTGTACTCCGATGGTGTGTGTGAGGCTGTGATGCTTGAAGCTGTGCCACCAGTGTTTTACCAGCAGGGTAAACCATGGCGGGGGGGGGACCGTTTCAGCAGAACTGCCAAACGAAGGCAGATGAGGAAGAAGGAGAGGTGTAAATAAGTGTACCTGAATCCTAATTATCTGTCTCTCTGGTTTTAATAGATAACAAGTTGCTGGAAAAGTCAGACCTTCACTCAGTGTTGACCCAGAAACTGCAAGCTGAGAAGCATGATGTGCCAAACAGACATGAGATCAGGTACTTTGAAATGCACCTCCATTATCTGTGTCTCCGGTGATCTTTGTCTAGACACCCAGCTGCCACCTCTGTTGTTTAGAAGCACACACCAAGTCCTGTGTCTGCACCTGGGCCTCTGATGCCCGGAAGGCAGACAGTGTTGTCAAAGCTCTGTGCCTCCCTGGACAGCTTCCTTGGCACCATGCTTTCAGCTAGAGGGAAACTTCATGGAGCAGGTTAGCTGGCAGCCTGCAGGCTTGTTTCTTTCTAGCCTACTAGTGTTTGCTTTGTAAAAACTCTGCCGAGTAGTTATTTCTGAGCTGTTTTACCAGCTCTCGTTAATGCAAGATTGACTGGTGTACAATCAAATCTTTTTTTTTTTCCTCTTTTGAATGTATTGTTAAGTGCCATTGAGTTGGTTTCAGGCCCTTTTAGGGTTTTTGTGGAGCAGTCGGTGGGTTTGAACCACTGACATGGTTAGCAGTCCAGTGCTGACTGACCCTACAGTGCCACACCAAGACTCCTTCAATGTATTAATAGGTGTGAAATCACACTAGCAGTTTGCATTAAGCTATTTGTATCTTTTAAGAAACAGTCTAGAAAAATACTGTGTTTTGATAAGGAAGGCACGTTTGTTTTGTTACATACACGTATGTGCTCACAGTAGAGGGGTGGATGTTAAGGAATTCTTCCTGAGAACCATAGTCAGGAATCTGGGCACTGCACATCAGTCCTGCAGAAGGAGTTGTTCTAGAGTCTGGCTCTTCTGTTTCTGCACTGAAGCTAGCCTTCATCACGTTTGTGTAGAAGGCTTGGTGTCCTGTACGGGAACGGTGGTGGTTACTACTCTAAAGCCGGACTGCTGTTTGCACATTGATTCACAGCTAGCTGGAGTGAAACGAAGTGGACGGCATGGTAGGGTTTGAGAAAGCAGAATTGTTGGGCTTGGCTTAGCTGCTTTATCTAGATACTGTGATGTGTTACACAGTTGCCTCCACTTGGGTTTTTCACCTGGCAAGATGACAGAATGGGTCTTTCCTGAAACATTTTCTTGGGTTGTTCCCTTGGTGTTAATATTCCTGGACTCTTATCTTTCATCCAAACTCATTTGGTTGGAAAGGTGCTATGAATACATTTGGAGCAATCCTTTCTAGTGAATTGTGTTGGGAGAGTAGGTTAGCTGGCCTTTCCTTCCCCAGATATGTCCACAGCCAGGCCTCCTTCACCTGATTTCTGTGTCTCTGTCACTGGTGTCCCCATTTCCACAACCCATATGCCGGGCTGTCCCCTTAGAGCCTGCCCCTCCTCATATACATACCGTCTTCCTGGACTGTTGAGCTAGACTTAGGAATATAGTGGTGGTACAGTGAGTGAGGTGTTGGGTTGCTAACCAAAAGGTCGGTGGTTCTGAACCCACTAGCCGCTTCAAGAGAGAACGGCGTGGCTGTTTGCTTGCCTAGAGGTTTACAGTCTTGGATCTCCTGTGAAGCTAGTCTCCTGTTTGTCCTTTAGGGTTCACTGTAAGTCAGAGTTGATGCAATGGCCATGAGCGTGGCCTCTCAAGGAACCCAGTCCACTGTGTGCTTGATGCTGCTGTTAGTGGCCAGTCAGTCACTATTGACCCACAGCGATACCATGGTGTCGGTTAGAACAGTGCCACAGGGTTTTCAAGGCTCTGGGGTAGGCACTGGACTACTGACAGCAAGGCTGATGGTTGTCTTAGTAATTAGTGCTGCCAGAGCAGAAAGACCATAAGGCTAGGCTTTAGCAGACAAGCACTGTCACACAGTTCAGGAGGCTAACATGCCGCCTTGGGAGGAAAAGGTCCTCATGAGCCCCTTTCGGCATCCCATGGGGATCTCCATGGGTCTCAGCAGCAATCTTCCCCTGGATTTAGGAGCTTCACAGTGCAGGGAGCCCAGGCCAAAGGACACACTCTGTTCCTGGTTCCTCTTCCTTGGCGGTAGTGAGGCCCTCTTTCTCTGCTGACCTACTGACTCTCCTGAGTAGAACCAGCAGGGAGCAGTTGTGACTCTATTCTGCTGTGAGTCCTCGCTCCTGTTTGTGCTTTGAGGTTTCCGCCACTCTTCCAGAACACATCATTGGTGGTCTCGGTATGGATTAAAGGGAGTGCATCCCCTCCGTGATCCTTTGATTGGTCTGTGAGATCAGATCACGTCATGGTGGGTCATCCCATCACTTGCCAGACCTTTGAGAATCATGATCCAGCCAAGCTGACCCATATTTGGGGGAGACAAGTCAATCGATGATGTGGGTCCAAACCCACCAGCACCTTCTTGAGAGAAAGATGAGGCTGTGTGCTCCCATAGAGAGTTACAGTCTGAAACCTTGTGTAAGGTTGCTCTGAGGTGCAATTGACTCAGTGATAGTGGAAGCAGATGATCAAGCCTCTCTCCCCCTGCTCCTCGGGATGGTTTGAACCACCATCCTTTCAGTTGAGCTTAACCAGCTGGGCCACCCTGGAACTCCCATGGGTGTTTGTTGGAGAACCAGGTGCTCACAGAAGGTGAGCATCTCTCCGGTTACCTCCCTCCAGTTACCCTGTGGGAGCTTACTAGAAATGTAACTCCTTTGGCCCCATCCTTGCTGACTCAGAGCCTGAGGGGGTTGGTGGGTGGATAGCCAGCACTCCAGCCAAAGTTTCTGGTCAGTCCTTTGCTAGTCAATCAGCATTCACATCCCCTGAGAGTTTTTTAGAAATGCAGATCACCTGACCTGCTGACAGCCTTTAAAGTGGGCCCCAGCAGGCCCTCCGGCGCCTGATGACCACCAGCTGGTGTTATTCCAGTGTTCCCATCCCTTGGGAGCTAAGGAGTCCTGTGAGTTAGGCAGCTAATCACAAGGTTGGTGGTTCAAACCCACCAGCTGCTCCGAGGGAGAAAGATGAGGCTCTGGGCTCCTTTAAAGCTTTAGTCTTGGAAACCCTCTCTGAGTTGGCTGGAACTCGATGGTATTGGGTTTGATCTTGAGTGGTCTGAGAACTTGAGTCTAACTGTAAAAGCAGGTTACCAGCCCTGCCCTGGACCGACGGCCTCGGAGCCTCCGTTTATTTTGACTGAAATAGGGAGCTGTCCGTGGTGAGCGGTGGAGTGGTTGCCCTTGTCTCGTGTGAGTTCTCGCTCCTGGTTGTACTTTGAGGTTTCAATGACTCTTCCACAGCATGTCACTGTTGGTGACAAGATTAACAGCGTGCCCGATGAGCAGACACATCTGCCCTAGGGAAATGGTCTCAAGGGATCCCGCCTTCCTGAGAGATCCAACCCCGCTGCCCCTTCTCAGACTCCTCCCAAAGCCCAGCCTCCATGCCCAGTGAAGGCGCTCCTCTGTCTGATCGCAGCGGACACTCCTACCTTCTCTCCTTTGCCACACGGGTGCTTTTCTTTGTGGGGGTCTCCCCCCACCTTTTTTGTGATAGAGGAGAAAAACTTTCCTGGTTCAGCATTCTTCATGTATGCGATATGGTGGCGTTCATCATGTTAGGCTAAATTGAAGCCAATTCCAGATGGCTTCGTGTAAGGTTCCACTGTCTAATCCGCTGCTGCTTCCTGGGGTTTGATGGGAAGCCCTGCGTGGCCTCCAAGGATGACATATCAGTATGTGCCCAGGCCGTGTAATAAAACTGCCTGTGGAGCTGGAGGGTGGAATTGGAGAGAGGACTGTGTCACCCCTTGTTCCTGTCTCCCCCACCTCCTCTGCTCCGGCTACACCCCCACTACAGACTGCTGGGGTACTGTCTGTTCTCTTCTTAGGACTAACCTGGAGTGGCTGGAGCTAAGCGCAGCACAGTTGGACTGCTTGTAACACATACATAGTTAAGGGAGATCAGTTTCAAAGCACTGACTCCCCTAACAAAGGATTAGGGAACTGTGGGAGGTGTGTACATTTGTGACAAAACCTGGGGACAGCATGCAATATCCAGTATTCAGCGTTAGAACTTGTCCCAGAAATCATTGTCAGAATCTTTGCTTCTAAAATGGGTTTGGGTCTGGATGGCTGTTAATGGCATATTTCCAGTGAACTTTTTTTTTTTTTAACTGTGAATTGGGTGATAGTTTACATGGGAGAACATCAGCTTTACATTTATCTTATTGTATTTCATTTCATTGCAATGATTACAGTCCCCTCCATGCATCATCATTCAGCAGCATTTGCTTCCATTCCTTCTGTTTTGTTTCTGTTTTTTGCGGGGGATGTACCACGAAGCACTCAGGAATATACAACCTGTTAAACAATCGAAGGGGATGCCCCGCAAGCCCCTCTCCCTCCCTGAGTCCAGGGTCCCCAGCCACTACGTCTTTCCACATCATCATCTCTGCCTCCATCTTTGGCGTTACTGCTTCTCTGGATAGGGTCCTGGACTCTGCTCTTCTCCCTTGATAGTCCCAGGGTCCTCCGCTCCTGGACTGCAAAGTCAACCACTCCCCTCTTTTTGTTACAAAAACGTCTACCTTTACATTTGCAACACTCACAGTCAGCAATTATTCACTATTGAACCATAGCAGTCCTGTCCCCATCTCCTTTTATCAGCCTCGTCCACACAGGTTGGAAACCACTCAGTGGGGATTCTACCTTCCCCGCACCTTCTGAAACTAGGCTCCCTCTTGAAAGCTTGTAAACCAGTCACTTCATACCTTTGTAGTCCCCCCATTTGGGTACCCTCATTGAACTTTTGTTCCTTATGAGCTTTCGTAATTGGGGTTCAGTCAGGGAGCAAGCTAGTTCTTATGGTGCATGTTCTTACACGTTTAACTCAGGGCGCCATAAGGTCTGAGTAGGAATTCTTCAACCTTGGTGGCTTCAGTACTCCTCTGTCGCTCTGTTGTGTCTGTGCCTACTATGGTTCCAGAACCACAGTGGTTCTTGGGGGCTCCTAATTCAGCCCTAGGGCTTCAGAGTCTACATGTGAGCTCCAAACTTGGTAACCAGTTTCACTCGACACACTCACCTGGATGCCTGACATTGAACTCTACTGTACCCCCCAGACTTGCTCCTACTAGTAA